ATTTGAGAACGTGGCACTAATACCTATCCTTAGTAAAAGTATTTCTTGCATCTGTGGCCGAAAGAAATTCTGCTTCGAATTTTTTTAACATCATATATACAAGAGGTTTTAGGTTTTAAGTTTACCTGTTGTTTATTTGCATGGAAAGTGACAATCGATTGCCAATAGATCAATATCAAAACACTTTCGTAACAGATATGTATACTTATTTTGACAGTTCTAGTTGGCTCTCATGATATCCCGTATTTCAAAGATGAAGCAATACATCTTGCCAAGTTGTCGTCCCTTCACTTACCTACAAGGCACGCTGACTAAATTGAACACAATGCTCTTCCAAATGTCTGACAAGTTTTTGGGAATGATCCAGGGATGGAAATATCCCTGATCCAAAGTGACAAGGTATCTTGGAAGGTCTTCGAAAACGGAAACCTGACTTTCATGCTGAGAGTTCACCAGTGCAACCTTCACCTTTATCGTTAACGCAGCCATTATGAAGTAGAGAACAGTTACGGTGAATCTTTTCGGCTAAACAATGATATATCAACTGTCATATCCTGAAAAATATGTTCCGTTTGCAGTTCTATTCAATATTGTAATTGAGATGTATGGAAAGTAGAGAATGGTACATATGCATGACGTGTATATCTGTTCGATCAAACAATGATGTATCAACTGTCATATCCTGAAAAATATGTTCCGTTTGTGCAGTTCTATTCAATATTGTAATTGAGATGTATTGAAAGTAGAGAATGGTACATATGCGTGTATATCTGTTCGATCAAACAGTGGCTTATCAACTGTCATATCCTGAAAATATGTTCCGTTGTGCAGTTCTATTCAATATTGTTATTGAGATCTGTGTAAAGTAGAATGAGTGAGTTTAGTTTTACGCCGCTTTTAGCAATATTCCAGCAATATCACGGCGGAGGACATCAGAAATGGGCTTCACACATTGTACCCATGTCGGAAATTGAACCCGGGTCTTCGGCGTGTCGAGCGAACGCTTTAACCACCAGACAACCCGACCGCCCCGGAAAGTAGAGAATGGTACATATACATGTATATCTGTTCGATCAAACAGCGGTTTTTAACTGCCACATCCTAATAAATATGTTCCGATGTGCAGCTCTAGTCAATATTGTAATTCTAAACTTTTTTTGGTCGCTTTTGGAAGAGAAGTATTGGGATCTGTCGTTCAATCCAGGCTGATTTGTGTTTGTCAAATACTATCCTCAATGTGTGTGTGTTTGTCAAATACTATCCTTAATGTTTGTGTGTTTGTCAAATACCATCCTTAATGTTTGTGTTTTTGTCAAATACTATCCTTAATGTTTGTGTGTTTGTCAAATACTATCCTTAATGTTTGTGTGTTTGTCAAATACTATCCTTAATGTTTGTGTGTTTGTCAAATACTATTCTTAATGTTTGTGCGTTTGTCAAATACTATCCTTAATGTTTGTGTGTTTGTCAAATACTATCCTTATGGTTGTGTGTTTGTCAAAAACTATCCTTATGGTTGTGTGTTTGTCAAATACTATCCTTTATGTTTGTGTGTTTGTCAAAAACTATCCTTAATGTTTGTGTGTTTGTGAAATACTATCCTCAATGTTTGTGTGTTTGTCAAATACTATCCTTAATGTTTGTGTTTGTCAAATACTATTCTTATCGTTGTGTGTTTGTCAAATACTATCCTTAATGTTTTACACAAACACTTGTAAAGATGCAAGGGATGTCAATTGCAAATACAGTGGACTCTGCGTAATCCGACATTGCTCGAGATCGGGGATAAATATCGCATTAGACAGCTTTCTGATTAGATAGGGTTCCATGTCTTAATGCACCCTCAATGATTCACTCATGATCAGATTGTCTGAGAATCTAGCCTATCAATTAAGAAAACAAATAAGGATTAACGCTCGTGTCAAAATATAAGATAGCAACGGGATAAATCAATGAAAAACGAAGCGTAGTTAATTTTGCGATAAATCATCGTTCAATCATGACGTCATTTCTGGACATTCGATCATACGCTCGAAACTTGATGACGTCGTAAATTGGACGACGTTATATGTGAGAGAGAAGTCTCTGTGAGCTATTCCCCATAGATGTTGCTGGACAACGCAGATAAACGCGATGGCCGAACGACTGGATCCAAATGTGGGCGAGAAGTGACAATCGGTATAGGGAGAAAAGGTACAGAAAATCGAAGTGAAAATTGTGAGAATATCCGGGAAATACCAAAATTAACCTTGGCACATAGATTGTCAAGGGTGCGTAACATTCTACACTGCCAGCCCCTTCCATATAACCATAGGGTCATACAGAGCACTTGTCAGCAGAGGCCGTCGATCTGCCTTTTACGGTCCAATCATCAGTGTCTTAACAAGTATCAGTTACTCGATCATTCTGGCCATTTCCAAGGCGCATTACACTCCTTTTATCGGGGCTACATGTTCAACGTGATGCTGCTACATCGGGAAGTCATATTAACTTCCACTGCCATCTCAATAAGGTCATTAGTGAGCGAGAATAACTTCTAAAAAAAAATTGTTTTTGCATGGTCACGTAGGGACACAATGTAAGTAGTACTGCTTACGACTGTTGCATCTTGGCATTCATTCTGGTTCCTTAATGTTTTCTTTGTGTCACAATTAAGTTTAACAAACCCTTCACGGACTGATGTATTTAAATGAGTATATTATGTTATTCAAACAAATAGTAAAATCTCCCTATAACAATTCAGGGCCTAGCCTAACGATCATACTAGACAAGAGGTGATGCCTGGACATGTACCTCTTGCCAAGTACACAGTGAAAAAACAACATAGAGTGAGTGAGTGAGGTGTGTTTAACGCCGCTTTTAACATTATTCCAGTTATATCACGGCGTGTCAGCTTAATGTGGGAGGAAAGCTCGAAGTGATGCAGGTCTTAGACGTTTACAGTTCCGTGAAACCCACGAGCACGGGTATGGTGCTGACAAACCTAGAAACATAATCGGGGCGAACCGGGATTCGAACCTACAATCAAAGGTTTCTGGCGTGTCCAAGGGACGCAACTCTGCACAGCGAATCGCGACGCCTAAGACAACTGGGCCACCCGTGCCCCCAAACAACATAAAAACCATACCAAGTTTCATTCTCAAAGATGATTATATTAACAGTGTTGTTAACGTCAAGACCGCCTCCGTGGTCTAGAGGTAGAGCGTCCGCCCGGAGAGCGGAAGGTCCGGGGTTCGATCCCCGACCGCGTCATACCAAAAGACGTTAAAAGATGGTACTTGTTGTTACCCTGTCTGGCGCTCGGCATTAAGGGGCTAAAACAAGGACTGGTCGGCTCGGAGTCAGTATACTGTGTCTGAGTGGGGTATTCATGTTAAACTGCGGCATGGTATCTCAGTGAGCTAGTACTATAAATCGGCATCAGTCCGGACTAGTACAAGCAGCCACACAAACACACACATGTACATGCACGTCGCTATATAAGTGCAATAATCTTGGACGCGACGTTAAACCCCATTTCACCTCACCTCACCTGTTAACGTCAAATGATTACATTCCAGTGACTGTCAATGTTTTTATCCAGTTTGCTTGATATTCAATAGATATCGCTCCGTTTGTATTTCACTAGACCTAACCTTTTGTTTCTCCAAGTATTATTAAATAAGATCACTTTTCAAAAGCCCACACAAAGAAAAATCAGTCATGTTATTCAGTCCTTTCAATGTACTTCAGGGACCACTGTATGTACAAAATCATAATGTGCTACATATATCTTAGGATATTTGTGCAATGTTATTGCATTGAGTAAAAACGACAAAACCCTTTTATATTCATAAGAAACTCTGCTAAAAGCAGATATTCTACGTTAATGTTGCAACAGTGTGGACATTTTCTGTGGTGGGAAATACCACAATGGATTGATAAATAACTGAATCATATCTTCAAATTAGTGTGCGAATGGACATAAGCAGACGGCGCCGCGATTCGCTGCACAGAGATGCGTCCCCGGAGATGTTCAAGGATCGTGGGTTCGATTCCCAGACTCGCCCAAATTATAATCGTTGGTTTGATGATACCATTTCCAAGATCGTAGAATTCCCTATGGTGAAAGACGTCTCAAATTTACATCACTTTAGACTTTGCTCCACTGATAATACTATTCACGGTGGCGTTTAACCCAACTCGGTCGTAATGTTATTACATTAGTGAAATCAATGTCTAAATTCATTTGAGGAAAATGCCAGTTAAACCCCACATGAATCCAGTGCATGATTCGATAGTAAATTACCAAGGCTATGCATGATATGTCAGATTCCACTCACCAAGTTAATAACCATGGCGCAACATCTCATAAAAGCATGGTGCCATTTGCAAAGACTTAATCATAATAGATAGGAGGCAACTACAGGTTTTGAGGTGATTCCACAGTGAAGGTGCACCCGTACTGAAAACATCTGTCAAAACAAATTCAGGGACCATAAGAAGGCTTTCACTTTCAGAACGAAGTGACCTAGCTGGTTGGTTTGTATTATGAAAATAGCAATGGATAGTACATGCCCTTGTGGTATACAATATCAGGGCGGTGACATCTATAGTTTCACGGTGCAAAACCGAACACTGGCCCAAACAACAAATTAAATTACTAATTAATAACATATGCATCAATAAATTCTTTCGATATTTTTAATGGATGTAGTCGAAAGATTTATTTAACCGCTAAAAAACTATTATCACACAATAACATAATGATTACACAAATCACTGTTATCTATGGTTTTTTTTACTCTCAGCTTCGTTCTTATTTTTTGTCACTGCCATCTAATAATGTGCAAATTGCCTTTAAGATAATATTCTGTACGACGTTCAGCTCAACCCCTGTCAGAATTACATACAGATTAACCGTTATACCGCTGCTCACAAGGAGATGGGGAAGTGATCGATATCATCAATGTTGAATCTGCTCATATCCAAAGGACATTCTAATGAAAAAACACATTATATGTCACGAAGGCAATTAATTTATTTCATGGCCGGTTTTAGCGGACACTATATACAATCAAATTACGAGGTACACAGAAAGGTCATTTTGTGAATACGAAGTGATCAAAGCGTATCAGGTTTCCTATAATATAATGAAGGGTGAAAAATACCTGCGAGTCTCCTTGAGCATATCCTGTCTCACCTGATAAATAGAACGAGATATTTGAAGATTACACAAAATCTGTCGCTTGGCCGCCTGGACTCTGCTTGTTACAACATCCACACGAGCGCCCATGGTCATTGTTTGTTCTGCGTCTCCTGGATACGCAACATAAACTGAACAGAGCCACCAGACCCCTGCGGAAACTGCCTAAAAATATCACATACAAGAAAAACTTATATACAGCATTGAATTTGGCAAGGTTTTCAAACAACCCCATCAGCTGAAAGTCCAAGGGTTTCCGAACACTTGTGAAACTTAACTTGGCTCGGATGTACACCGAAGGCATGAGAAGTCCCACGTACATTATTCCACAAATGACACACACCAATGTTGCTGCTGAACTTTCTGAAGACAAATCCAGACCATTGGACACCAGTGCGGCACTTACTCTTGTTGACATTCGCACCGACCGAGATGTAGTTTTAGTTCTGCTCTCACCGAAACACCGATCTGCTGCACATTTGATCAGAAGCGTAATGTCCATTAAGACAATTAACACCATGGGGATGAACACAGAAAACACTATCTCCACTTTCCGTAGCCTTTCAAGATCTCTCATACTCTCTAACATAGGGGCACACATTGCCATCTTCCGACTGATTCTCCTGACGATGTGAGTCCACAGTAGATAAAGGTAGGCCACCATTGAGAAGATAGCGATTGTTATGATGATACATTTAGAACGAAATTTCGTGCACCATCTCTTCCTCCGACGCTGTCCAAACTGCCAAAAGCACCGCTCCAGATGCGCAGAAACTAGGTACCACGTCCCAAGAAAGGTAGACAGGAATAAGGCATATGTTGTCAGCTGACACATCCCAGTGTGGTTGTAAATATCAAACACATTTCTGGAAATCCACAGGATCATTGAACACAACAGAAAGGTGAGGTCAGCCAGTCCAACGGCGGTCAGATAAATACTCAAAGGGTGACGTCCCACGGGGGTAATGAGGAATGTGCAAACTATAAGAATATTTGTCACAATTCCTGTAGATAAGGCGGCTGGCATTGTCACAAGGTCTAGCTCTTTCTGAAGTTGCTCTAGTTTTGATAACACTCTATATGGCTGAACAAACCGTTTGGTAACATTCGTCAACAGTCTATCCGGACCCGTGACATTATCTGAAATACTGTGTATAAAATCCAAGGATACCGTTCCATTCTCTCCTTGCATGTCGTATGCCATTGCTGCATTTAGCCAACAACGCCGCGGCTCGAGCTCTTTAAAAGAGCATTCAGATGTCGATGGTGACGAACACGTAGCTACCACTGACTAATCAAACACAGTCCAACCATTTTTGTTCTGCTAAATAAATCCGTTGTGTGGCTAGCAGTGAGAGTTTGCCCACCTACAGGAAGCCAATCACTACACTGTAGCTGGACTCGGCTTCATTGATTAACGTTCGCGTTCACACAGGACGGGCGGTCCTCGCTAGACGCAGCGTTCTCCCTCCGTTGACTATGACAGACTGAAAGCCTGCCTTTCGAAGAGGCCGGCGAGATTACAAGCTGTCGCTGTACAGTTTAGTCAAGGGCGTGCATCATGCGCACCATCCTGAGGATTATGACGTAGTCAGATCTCATTATACTGCATCATATTTCATTAATTTGGTACATGTTTCCAAGTAGGCACATAGAGTGTCTGGATACTTTAACAAGTTTAAGCATCTGAATAAACTTGAAATCTTCTTTGACATGTTTTCATTAATGTTTGTTTTTACAGAGCACCAAATTGGTGAATATGTATCGATTAGTATAAAACCTTAATTATTTTTTCAATGAATGTGAATACCATTAACCAATGTCCTATTAGGACCGACCGTCTATTAAACAAGGAATGGTGGGTTTTAGACAGAATATGTTTTTAGTGTTCCAAATCATTTTCTTTTGAAATCAATCAGCATGCCTCGTGAACACTTTATCTATTGCGGAAAATCCTGAAGACCCCCCTTCAGAGTTTTCGGCAAGAGATCATCAAATCGTGGGCAGCTTGGTAAGACAGACCGTGCTGGGATTGCGAAACTATAGTTCTCGTTCTTTCAACAACGGAAATGTGACAAACGCCATTTATATCATCAAATGAGTGACTATTCGGTACGAAAACGATGAGCGAAAAATGCTATAGCATCGGTTGCGTTTATTGTTCGCGTGTCGGTACTTTCACTTATTTTGTAGTGAGACTTTTCTTTGTTTAAAATCTTTGCTGAACTGTGTTTAAAATGAAGTATGGATCGTACTTACTTCGGTCTATACACAGAGTGATCTCTTTCATACGGATTTTTTTAGAATATCTTGTTCCACAGAAAGAAAACACCTAGTATATCGCTTCAACCAGAACAAATGTAAAGAGGGAACATATTTACTCTCACACATGCAGCTGTTGTGACATGAGAGTAACTGGAGGTGCGGCAAATACTTTTCTTGTTAATTAGCACTTATAAGCTAAAATGATCAATCGATATTTAGCTTTTAATCGGCACGGGTTGCGGGTGGGGGATGTGGGCGCCCCTGCTACTGCTACTGCTACTACAAAAAGCCACGCCTCCTCGTTAGCGCTCTTAAGATTTGTTTGGATTGTCACAAATACAGACCTAAAAAAATATAGTACTTTTAATTAAGCGCAACAGCGCTATGTATACATTTTCACACTGTTTTTCTCAGACGTCGTCTAAATGATGTAAGAAAAGTATATTACTATTTTTCATGATACTTGCACTTTAAAACCTGTATTAATAACAATGGTTACTCTTGCAATTGTGACACTGTACTTTTTTGTTAACTGACACGTTAGAGGTCACATGAATTAATCATATGGTTGTTATCGTTTTTTAATTCCTCTTGCAGTATTGTCACAATGTTACACTGTCTCTTCTTGCCAGTCACACTGTGTTGAAGTTCAATGAGTATTACCTTCTTCTAGCAATAATCACGCGGAAAGTAGACATATAGACTTCCAACACTGTACTTATTTGGAGAGTCAAACCAGAAGCTTCGGGCTGATGTGCGATTTAAAGAAGAACTATTTTGTATCCTAAACGGCCATTCCAGTTCCAGTCTGGGAGTAGACGTTGTAATGAGTGTCCTTAGTGTAAACGGACACATTTTTCCTCGACAATGATGGTAATCGTTAAATACTAGAATGATATACTTCATAATTGGAGACAGCAGACAAGCTAAGTTCGGACTGCCAATTAACAAAAGCCTACGTCTTCTTTAGCTAGTGGTCTCTTAGTACACCAGAGATACAATTAAAGATATAAGTTTCGGCATGTGTTCACTGACATGAATGTACTTACTGACGATTTCTTCCAGACGTGTCCATATGCAAGCGATAACTGTCGTTTGGGTTATAGATTTTAAAAGGTATTCTACTCCACTGATAGTAGGGACACACGCACGTTCTGTGGATCAAATACATCATGCATTTTTTTGTCCATATTATTTCGGGTTTATATGTAATTGTTTTGGCAAATATTTCAATATTGTCTGGGACCTCTTAATCCAGATCACCCTTGTGGGATCCGGGGTCTGGGGATTAGGAAAGGGGGGCACGGGTGGCCCAGTCGTCTAAGGCGCCGCGATTCGCTGTGCAGAGTTGCGTCCCTTAGGCACGCCAGAAACCTATGATTGTGGGTTCGAATCCCGGTTCGCCCCGATTGTTTCTAGGTTTGTCAGCACCATATCCGTACTCGTGGGTTTCACCGAAGTGGTAAACGTCTGAGGCCTGCATCACTTCGGGTTTTCCTCTCACATTAAGCTGACACGCCGTGATATAACTGGAATAATGTTAAAAGCGGCGTTAAACCCAACTCACTCACTCACTCACTCACTGTTTAGGAAAGCGATCGTAACGCTACGACTATAGTAACTCCTATAATTTAACATATAAGTACCGTCGTAGTGCTGCGTTTGCTTTCAGAAACCGATGCCATGTGGATTGCTGTAGTTTGTAATGTGAATGTTTCAAGATAAAAACATAGTGCGGACACGTATTATTATGTCATCAAAGTCATCGGTATTCACGAAGGGACATTTGATACATGTGCAATTGAGGTTCTTTCCTAGATAAGAACAAAAGGACATTTAAATTATGTTTTGGAAGCAGGCATCATACTTTGTCCAAGAGGGGTTGCTGAGACAGATTAACTCTGAGCACCAATACAATTATAATTATATTCTACAGACTACACGAATGTCCACGATGCTAAAAACATGATTTCCCACTTTATTGGATTAAGCCTAAACTTTTGAATATCATAATAATGTGCTGTGTGGTTGAGCCTATCTGTGATAAGGACAAACTTCTCTATGAATTAATAGCAAACTGAGCGACTGAGCTACAGCTGTGAAATCAACAAAAATGTGATATCGTGATCATAAAATTGAACTGGGAAATGAAATGCTTCGGTTGAACTACTCCACTGATTCAATTGAAAACAAAATTATACTATATCAACAAACAGAAACAAAAACATAAGTGAAAATAAACACAACGGGACAGTAGCTCATACATTCGAATCACATAAAACAGACAACTACGTCTCCAACAGCATCGATGTCAAATACACCTGATATTAACACGGATGAAGACAGATCAGCGCGAGACAGGCCAAAGCCATGTGTCCACCCAGACACCCAACGTCGTGAACGTGAGACAACACCTACCCAAGATAACATCGCTTCCACCAAGGATAAGTCAAGATACAATTACCTAGGTCTGAGACCCGTGAAGACCCGGGGTAAAATAGGTCTTCAGCAACCCATGATTGCCGTAAAAGGCAACTAACGGGATCGGGTGGTCAGGCTCGCTGACTTGGTTGATGCATGTCATCGATCCCAATTGAGGGGATCCATGTACATGATGTAAATCACTGGATTGTCTGGTCCAGACTCGATTATTTACAGACCGCCGTCATATAGCTGGAATATTGCTGAGTGCGGCGTAAAACAACACACCAAACCAAACCAAAACCTAGGCCTGAGCGGAATTGCGCCTATCTATGTCTCCACCTACCAGGATGAACATGGTGAGCCGTGGCAACAGGTGGGCTCGAGAAGAACCCACCGAACCCCACCGATAATAACCTCATCCACGACAAATAGAAATCAGAACATTGGCCAAAATGCATCACGCCATAGAAGGTGTACCGAGAATCCGAACAAAACGACCAGTTTTTGTACAACATCAAAGCTGATGAACCATTTCTCTCTGTCAAAGATGGGACCCGTGAAGATCCGGGATGGAACAGGTCTTCAGCAAGCCATGCCGTAAAAAGCAACAATGTTCGTCGTAAGTGGTGACTAACGGGATCGGGTGGTCAGGGACGCTGACTTGGTTGATGCATGTCATCGTATCCCAATTGCGTGGATCGATGATCAGGATGTCAATCAATGGATTGTCTGGCCCGGACTCGATTATTTACAGACCGCCGTCATATAGCTGGATTATTGCTGAGTGCGTTGTTAAACAACAAACAATCAATCAAACTGTCAAAGATCTGAAATACGAGTACGCGTAGGTTATGCGTGTGCGTGTCACGTTCGTCAGACTTATGAAGAAAACTCAACCCTACAACTACCAACACACCTACACTGTCCAGGTGAACATCGACTATAACGACTACGAAGTCTTCGTATCTATAAGGTGGCCAAGTCGTCTAATGCGCCGCGATTCGCTGTGCAGAGTTGCGTCCCTTGGGCTGGCCAGAAACCTATGATTGTGGGTTCGAATTCCGTTTCGCCCCGATTATGTTTCTAGGTTTGTCAGCACCATACCCGTGCTCGTGGGTTTCACCGAAATGGTAAACGTCTGAGACCTGCATCACTTCGGGCTTTCCTCCCACATTAAGCTGACACGTCGTGATATAACTCGAATAATGTTAAAAGGGCGTTAAACCCAACACACTCACTCGTATCTATAAATCCAGACTTTTGTCCTCAAGGTATGAAAGAGAAAGACTATGTACCCAGGACCTGGATGGTGTCGCGTAACGCCGACTCTCATACCCACAGGTAGTAAAACATTCATGTGTCACATCCAGTTTAGACGGGATATTATGAGCAAGGCGTCTGCTCTCCTAATGAAGCTATTAGTATTAACTTGGAATGTACGTGGAGTTATATTCGTCAGACATTGTCTCAATCTGTTGATGTCTTGGCCCACAGAGCATTGGTTACCGGCAAATAGAATGTATCATTTAACTATGTCTCAGGATCTAAATTTGATATCTTATGACGCTGTTTCTCCTTATACTTTGTGTAATTCTCTCTCTTTGGAATAGTATAATGGACTCGTCTTTAAGGAGAGATTGCTTATAATTATGGAAAAAAAATTGTCACGTTTATTTGCTGAATACGCACCATCGTAATAAATGGCAGGATGGCTCCGATGTGCATTAGTCATTGCCCGTCCTTTCCACCACCAGTTTGTCTGGTAAATATCCACGAAAAGGCCG